GAAATCTTATGGTGGTGGTGGCCATGGTGTATATGTGGTGGTGGAGTATAGGAACGATTTCCATCACTATCACTCGAGTTGGCAGTCGTATAAGGTTGCTTTGGTGGTGGAGTATAGGAACGATTTCCATCACTACCACTCGAGTTGGCAGTCGTATAAGGTTGCTGTGGTGGTGGAGTATAGGAACGATTTCCATCACTACCACTCGAGTTGGCAGTCGTATAAGGCTGCTGTGGTGGTGGAGTATAGGAACGATTTCCTGCATCAATATCACTCGAGTTGGCAGTCGTATAAGGTTGCTGTGGGGGTGGTGGTGAAGTATAGGAACGATTTCCATCAATATCACTCGAGTTGGCAGTCGTATAAGGCTGCTGTGGGGGTGGTGGTGAAGTATAGGAACGATTTCCATGAATATCACTCGAGTTGGCAGTCGTATAAGGCTGCTGTGGGGGTGGTGGTGAAGTATAGGAACGATTTCCATCGCTATCACTCGAGTTGGCAGTCGTATAAGGTTGCTGTGACGGAGTATATGGCCCAACTTCATCACTGCAGTGCACCAGAACATACGCATGCTTTGAAGTATCAGAATTTCCGTTACTGGCAAAGCGATTACTCCTGCCAAGAACCAACTCGTTCGTTGCGCGTATCACCAAGCCGTTATTAGGTACTCCCCTACTCCAGTTTTTCACTGCATCCGTGACGTCAAATTCTACAAATCCTGAGGGTCGGTAGGGAAAGATAGTGACAGTTCCTTGCTGGGGAGTTGCCTCAGCGTCGGTGCCGTCGAGCGCTAGCCATGGGGAAGACCAAGGGATACCACGTAGGCGCATAGTACTGGTTGTTTGAGATTCGTCCCATGGTTTTTTAACCAGGTGCACTTGCAAATAACGCGGAATGAAAGGAACACTTTTTGCTGACATGAAACTTGGTTTGTGGGAATATATATAGTACAGGTACATTTTGGCTGAAGTTACATTTTTGGACGGACATGAACTTGAAGCGAAGCGTTCAGCCATTCTGTTTCTGAGGAGAACACTCCAAGGGGCTTGGTAACCAGGCAGACGTTGAACTTGACATGATAAATGCAATATCTGCAGCAGATATTGCATTTATCATGTCAAGTTCATAAGCTGTTGTGAATTGATTGAATGCTCTCGACCAAACAGATTTTTCATAGTGAGTCTGATCATAATAATACGAATTAAAGAACCGTGCCATATATTAACTGTAGCTTAAATCATATCTCGTAACCATATTCAATGCGCGATACCCAAAGCTACTCCCGGACTTGTAAATATGCCTTCGCCTTATGTGACGCATACATAAAGGAGGAGAAGATTATATTATAGAGTTTAATATTACTAGAAATCCTGTCCATGTACTCAGTAACAACTGTCACTAGTGCAATGGTGGAGTTCTGCATACGGTTACCTGAAATAAATCCCATGAGCAAAGGCCAGGAAAGCCCATATTTCTGAATAACTGAAGCCTAAAGTAGTGTTTGAGGAGTTCTCCATCTTTCAAGATGAAAAGGAAAATTTAACTTGTATCTCTAATGACAAGTTTTATAATAATAATAATAATAATAATGGTAATAATAATAATAATAATAATGGTAATAATAATAATAATAATAATATTGATAATAATAATAATAATAATAATAATAAGAGCCGTCGTCATCATTATTTTGATCGTCATAATCTGTTTGGATTGGTATTTGACCTCTTCAAAGTGCTTGCGTCTCGTGAAGTCATTTTACAAAAACCAAGGCCATGCTAGCTTGCACACAGACTAATGCTGCAGAGACTTGACAAGAAATTCAAGTCAGCGTATGAAACATGGCTCAAAAATAATAAGAAAAATAATTTTAAATGATGATAAAAATAAAGTTAAATAATAACACATTAACTGAATAAAAAATAACGGTCATCATCATCATCACGAATAATACTGAGCACTTCTCTTGAAGCACAATATAGCGCATAACAAGAAGGTAAGAAATATATTTTTGATAATAACATCTTAGTTCGGCAGTTCCGGTGGAGTAGAGGGGAAAGGGCAGACCGGCTGAAAAACAAAAATCAGATTGACGCAAAATTAGAACAGTTAAAAAGGATACAAGATTGCCTATGATCCTCTATAGTTGCTATGTACCTCGGAAGGACACTTCCAGATAAGGATAAAGACTCTATTAGTAGAAGCAGGATCAACAACAGGTTCGATGACACAAATGTCATGCTTCATTAGCCCTTTCAACGCAAAACGTAGAAATCAGGTAATTAAATATTACTCTGTCACACGTACTGTAATACACATTATTGTATGCAAAACTCTCGAATAAAGCGTAATGAAATAGCTTACCCGTCCTGTGGAAGAGGATAACCTGACCGTTCAGAAGGTAACCACGTGTCTACACGAAAAGGTCCGAGCTGTAAATTTTGAAATGCACAACTCGGATTTTGAATTTTGACTTGAACCTTTGCAGTGAAAATCTGAGCTGACTCGGATTTTTGCGGTAAAAGTTCGAGTTGCAAATTTAAAATGCACACAACTCGGATTTCTGCGGTAAAAATTCGAGTTGCAAATTTAGGAATGTACACAACTAGAAATTCGAGTTGCAAAATTTTGAAATGCACACAACTCGAATTTCTGCGGTAAAAATTCGAGTTGCAAATTTAGAAATGCACACAACTCGAAATTCGAGTTGCAAAATTTTGAAACGGACACAACTCGGATTTCTGCGGTTAAAATTCGAGTTGCAAATTTTGAAACGGACACAACTCGGATTTCTGCGGTTAAAATTCGAGTTGCAGATTTAGAAATGCACACAACTCGGATTTTTGCGGTTAAAATTCGAGTTGCAAATTTTGAAATGCACACAACTCGGATTTTTGCGGTAAAAATTCCAGTTGCAAATTTTGAAATGCACACAACTCGGATTTTTGCAGTAAAAATTCGAGTTCCAAATTTTGAAATCGAACAACTTGGATTTTTGCAGTAAAAATTCGAGTTGCAAATGTAAACTGTAAAAAAATAAAACGGTGTCCTATATGAGCTACAGTATTACCGTTTGATGTGTCAGCGGAAATCTTATGGTGGTGGTGGCCATGGTGTATATGTGGTGGTGGAGTATAGGAACGATTTCCATCACTATCACTCGAGTTGGCAGTCGTATAAGGTTGCTGTGGTGGTGGAGTATAGGAACGATTTCCATCACTACCACTCGAGTTGGCAGTCGTATAAGGTTGCTGTGGTGGTGGAGTATAGGAACGATTTCCATCACTACCACTCGAGTTGGCAGTCGTATAAGGCTGCTGTGGTGGTGGAGTATAGGAACGATTTCCTGCATCAATATCACTCGAGTTGGCAGTCGTATAAGGTTGCTGTGGGGGTGGTGGTGAAGTATAGGAACGATTTCCATCAATATCACTCGAGTTGGCAGTCGTATAAGGCTGCTGTGGGGGTGGTGGTGAAGTATAGGAACGATTTCCATCAATATCACTCGAGTTGGCAGTCGTATAAGGCTGCTGTGGGGGTGGTGGTGAAGTATAGGAACGATTTCCATCAATATCACTCGAGTTGGCAGTCGTATAAGGCTGCTGTGGGGGTGGTGGTGAAGTATAGGAACGATTTCCATCAATATCACTCGAGTTGGCAGTCGTATAAGGTTGCTGTGGGGGTGGTGGTGAAGTATAGGAACGATTTCCATCAATATCACTCGAGTTGGCAGTCGTATAAGGCTGCTGTGGGGGTGGTGGTGAAGTATAGGAACGATTTCCATGAATATCACTCGAGTTGGCAGTCGTATAAGGCTGCTGTGGGGGTGGTGGTGAAGTATAGGAACGATTTCCATCGCTATCACTCGAGTTGGCAGTCGTATAAGGTTGCTGTGACGGAGTATATGGCCCAACTTCATCACTGCAGTGCACCAGAACATACGCATGCTTTGAAGTATCAGAATTTCCGTTACTGGCAAAGCGATTACTCCTGCCAAGAACCAACTCGTTCGTTGCGCGTATCACCAAGCCGTTATTAGGTACTCCCCTACTCCAGTTTTTCACTGCATCCGTGACGTCAAATTCTACAAATCCTGAGGGTCGGTAGGGAAAGATAGTGACAGTTCCTTGCTGGGGAGTTGCCTCAGCGTCGGTGCCGTCGAGCGCTAGCCATGGGGAAGACCAAGGGATACCACGTAGGCGCATAGTACTGGTTGTTTGAGATTCGTCCCATGGTTTTTTAACCAGGTGCACTTGCAAATAACGCGGAATGAAAGGAACACTTTTTGCTGACATGAAACTTGGTTTGTGGGAATATATATAGTACAGGTACATTTTGGCTGAAGTTACATTTTTGGACGGACATGAACTGGGAAGATCTTCAAACTGGACCAGTGTGCGCTTGTTAGGATATCTCGGGATTTTGGACACTATGAGATATTCGTAATTGTTGTAATTTCGGTTTCCACTCTCTAGCCAGACATCTTGAGTTACGCTTAGCTTGTACACTGTACCGGCGCCTGTGTCAAATGTATTCACACCACGCACAGGAGCAGCTGCTAACACCACCATCAACAAAGCCATTACTACACTTACTGATTGTTCCATGGCCTAAAAAAAAACAATTCAATTTAATGCCTTTTTTACTTTACTTCACTCGGGAGGCTCCCTCAAAGTGATTAGAAAGTGGAAAGATATGTGAGTAATAGTTATTGCTTATGTGGAAAATTAACGCAACCTTTCTGTCATCTCTCTTGAATAGTTAGCACTTATTGAATGAGGCCAAATGAGGCTGACTATGATCGAGGAGAATGTCCGTTATCAACCGAGCATCAACCAAGCGAAGGCCGAGGTGGATAACTGCCTCCGAGATCAGCATAATTCTTCAGACTGGTGCGAGTCAGGGGCACCCCACGACAATTTTCGGAAAAATATCTGTTCGGAAGACGATTTGAGATCTAGAATTTTCGGAACATTTGTTGTACAATTTTGTGCTTGCCTGCCTCTCCTTGGATTTTCGAACATCTAAAAACTAATATAGTTGCCCATTTTTAACGGATTTTTACCTTTAAAAGGTCACCTAGAATTTTCGGGAGCCTTTTAAATGAATAATTATAATAATTTATAATATGGCTGGCTCCATGTTTGAGAAGGCAAGATAAAATGAATCTTGTGTTCTGATTGGCTACCTAAGCGTAGAAGTTGAGGCTTTAATGCCCGCTTTCAATGGCTCACCTTGTTCTCAAACGTCATAATTTATTTGGGACGTGTAATAAATCCTTTATTGAACAAGTGTAAGTCAATATGAAATATTGGCTTTCTCTTTCGTTTGTGCCACCTCCTCTCCATCCACTAAAAACGCAGAAAAACATGACCAATATCTAGCCAGATATTGACCTCACACTTGGCCAATAACGCGTGTACTTTTACGCGTGCTGATTGTTCAGTATGCGGAGGTTTTTACGGTCAGTTTGATATTATTTCCTAAAAATGTGTTGATTCTTACTCGTTATCTGTTACCCGAGGCCCTACATACAGAGCGACAGACAGTGCTCTGATTGGCTACCTATAAGCGAAGAAATTGAGGCTGTAACGGCCAGTCTGCTTTCGATTGCTCACCTTGTTCTCAAACGCCATAAATTCTTTCGGCCATGTAATAAAACCGTTATTGAACAAGCGTACGGTCAATATTGGACTTTAGCTTTTTCCCTCTTTTGGGCGACTTCTAAAAAACATGACCAATATCTAGCCAGACATTGACCTCACACTTGGTCAATAACGCGGGTACTTTTACATGCTGATTGTTTAGTATGCGGCGGTTTATATGGTCAGTCTGATATTATTTCCTAAAAATGTGTACACAAAACGGAAACTCGGTTCACCTACAGATTTTTTAATCGATCTTTCCGGTTTTAAGACTGAGAATAGCTAGGTTTAGTTTGCGTGTTTGGCTAGTTTAAGATTAGGCATAAGAGATAGTAACGGATTCGAATGAAAAAATTAAATCAATGGTTTAAATTATCCTCTTAATTAACTTTAAAAAATGGAGTACCCTAACGTATAAAAAACAATTGATGCTTATTATACAACCACATAAATTGGATGAATTATCATCTTACGTGTTTCTTTTAGGCGTCAAATATCAGAGAAATTTGTCTAAAAAAGAAGAAATTTAACATAATTAGTCATGTAAGTATCTTAAATTAAAAACAATGGATATAGTATTTGACTTTCTCCCTTATAAAATGTTCTTTCCGACCACATGAATAAAAACATCTAGAAGACGAATTGGTGGGATTGTTTACCCCCAAAAAAATTTAAAAACCCATGCTTGAACTGCTATAAAGGACTGACAAACTAGTAGCACAGTAGAGATTAAATATGAGGCTAGTGCGAACAGAGACTGAGTAATTTTAATCCACTAATCCTGGCAAATGTGGCATGTGCCCGGGCTACGAGACATCAAGATCTATCGTGGCTGGCACACTCCCTTTGAAATAAAATCAAATGTTTACTGCGAGCGACGTGATCGTCTGTTTAAAGAGCGAGGGTGTATTTTTTTCCTTTAAAAAAAAACTTCCTTGTGACTGAAAAGTAAAGCTTTATATCAGGGTTTTTTCCGCTTTGATATGGAAATTCCTACTTTCCGCAATTACGTTTTCGATCTAGATTCATTCACTGCGTACTAAACATTCTGCAAAGAGTGCTGGTGCCTGAAAACGATGTCAAGTCTTGTTCATTACTTAAATGGCTCTAGGTGGAAAAACAGACTCTCTAGACGTTTGATAGATTGCGGCCACATTTCAGGGGCACCGAACGAGAAAATAGTTCAAAACCACTTGAACATAGCATTGTTAAACGTATTTTAGTATTTAAACTGTATATATAGGCATATTTTTGTCCCCTAAAAATTTTGATCTGTTCGGATTTCCTAGCTGAAAGTCTAGTGATCTGAAAATTATAGGGATCAAAACTTACCTTTTCGAAAATTTCAGCCAGAAGAAAGGCTCCCGAAAATTCTAGGTGACCTCTTTAGGGTAAAAATCCGTTAAAAATGGGCAATTATACCATCTTTTGGATGCTCGAAAATCCTAGGAGAGGTAGGTAAGCAAGAAATTTTACAACAAATGTTCGGAAAATTCTAGGTCTCAAATCGTCTTCCGAACAGATATTTTCCGAAAATTGACGTTGGGTGCCCCTGTTTTTTGTTCAGTTTCTAGTACGCAAGTCTAAATATTGAAACTCAATAGTTTCGCTACTTACCAGAAGTAAAAATAGGTAGCAAGACTTCGATCCTGTAAAAAATGCGATTAGATCAGTCGGTTCTAGGACTTATAAATGTAGGTACATTGACGTCACATCGATTTTCTGCATAAGTGGTGTCGAGATTCATTTTTGACAGCATTTCAATGTGCGGTTGTGAAGACATTCCATATTAAACGGTGAAGAATGGTACTTCGAAAAATGTGGGTTTTGGGAAATTTTGGGTCCGATATCGGAAGCGTTTTTGATGGGTCTCGAAGTCTTGTTTTTTTTGAAATTTTTACTTCTCGGAGTCTTAAATGTTTTTGCCGACGGGTCTCGGTGTTTCGAATTTGTCATTTTTAAGACATTTTTGGGAAATAATATCAGACTGACCGCATAAACCTCCACTTATTGAACAATAAGTATGTGTAAGGGCACACTCCGTATTGACTAAGTGTGAGGTCAATGTCTGGCTAGATAGTGGGTCACGTTTTTTATGCGTTTTTTATGGATAGAGAAGTCGCGCAAAAGAAAGAAAAAGCTACAATTCCATATTGACTTTACGCTTGTTCAATACAGGATTTATTATATGGCCGAAAGAAATTATGACGTTTGAGAACAAGGTAAGCAATCGAAAGTTATAGCGGGCATTACAGCCTCAACTTCTTTGCTTAGTTAGCTAATCAGAACACAGGACTCATTTTTCATTGAAAACGCCAATGGAAGCAGCGGAAGCTCACCAATAGTGTTATTCTTCCTTCTTGCACCTTGTAACCCGGTGAACACAGTATTTGCATATCCGCAATGTTTGCGCACCAACAGATCCATTTAACCAGAGTCAAAGGCCTGTATGTCGCTGCTATCTCATCCGTGAACCAGTCATGAAAAGTTCTAAACGTCCGTTTTTTTTAATCAAAATCTTATTTGAAGCTGAATTTGAGGACAAGAACATTCGTGTCTAAAGCTTTAAAAATAAGCCCGGCAGCCACCACACTTTCACAGTATGAAACGTGCAATCAGATTTCCGCATGAAATTACTTAGTACACAGAACGGAAACTCGGTTCACCTACAGATTTTTAATCGACCTCTCTGGTTTTAAGAGAAAATTGGTAAGTTTAGTTGGCGTGTTTGGCTGGTGTAAGATTAGGAATAACGGATCGTAACGGATTCGAATGTAAAAACTAAATAAATAGTTAAAAATATCCTCTTTCTACAAAATGAGTAACGAAAACAACTTTGATACTTATTATACGACCACATTAACTGGATGGATTATCATCTTACATGTTTCTTTTAGGCGTTTGAATGTCAAAGAAATTTGTCTTAAAATATAAGAAAGAAACATAATTAGTCTTGTAAGTACATTAAATTAAAAACAATGGATATTAGTATTTGACTTTTTCGCTTATAATAAGTTCCTTCCCCCATACTGAGTGCCTCAAAACAATCTCAAGTTTTGTTCTTTACTTAAATGGCTCTAGGTGGAAAAACAAACCCTCTAGACGTTTGATTAAAGTCAAGACCAATAGACGCTTCCTTTAGCTTCCTTTAGTTAGGTTCAGGAATTTGCAGCCATAGTTTTACACTTACTTATTACCATCACACGCTCATACAAGTTACTGCGCACTTTCTGGGTTGTACAAGTCTAAATATTGAAACTCAATGGCTTCGCTACTTACCAGAAGAAAAAATAGGTAGCAAGTCGTCGATCTTGTAAAAAAATGCGATCAGTCGGTTCTACGACTTATCCTGAATGTGGATACATAGACGTTACATCAATTTTCTGCATAAGCGGTATCGTGATTCATTTTTAGTAGCATTTCAATGTGCGGTTGTTGAGACATTCCATATTAAGGGCTAAAGAATGGTACTTCGAAGGACGTGGGTTTTGGGAAATATTGGGTCCGATATCGAAAGCGTTTTTGATGGGTCTCGAAGTCTTGTTTTTCTGAGATTTTTACGTCTTGAAGTCTCAAAATTTTTGCCCATGGGTCTCGGAGTCTCGGATTTATCATTTTATCTTTCCTTTTGGTCTCAGGAGTCGAATTTTACAGAGCTCATAGGTACAGCTTATCGAACTGAACTTGTAGATTAAGACAGTAAAACAAGACAAAGCAGCATATTGGTGGGCTTCCGCTGCTTCCATTGGCGTTTTCAATGAAACTGAAATGAGTCTTGTGTTCTGATTAGTTAACTAAGCAATATAAGAAGTTGAGTCTGTAATGCTCGCTTGCTTTCGATCGCTCAACTTGTTCTCAAACGTCATAATTTCGAACAAGGGTAAGGTCGATATGGGATTTAAGCTTTTTCTTTCTTTTGCTCGACTTCTCCATCCATGAAAAACGCATAAAAAACGTGACCAATATCTAGCCAGATATTGACCTCACACTTGGTCAATAACGAGTGTGCTGTTACACATGCTGATTGTTCAGTATGTGGAGGTTTATGCCGTCAGTTTGATATTATTTCTTGTCTAATGAGTTCTTACTCGCTTTCTGTTACCCGAGGCCCCACATACAGAGCGACAGAATAGGAGTGAAAAATAAAAGACTTCATCTTTATCTTTGAATTGTAGCTAGTACACTACAGTGCAAAGGTTCATTGTTATGCTTCCTTCTTGCACCTTAAAACCCGATGATCAAAGTATTTGCATATCCGCAATGTTTGCGCACAAACAGATCCATTTCATCCGTGAACCAGTCCTTCTCAAACTCATTAATAATTCATTAAGAAAATACAAAGGAAATTAATGTTTAATGAGTGTTTGGAAATCGGATGAAACACTGCTTAGTATTTGCATCCTTAATTTCTCCTTCAAAAATGATTTTGTTTGAGAAGAAATATCAAACATTCGACACAGTGTTTCATCACCAGATGAAACACCTCGAAGTTCGTCAAAAATACTCCGCTGCGCGTCGTATTTTCAACTCTCTTCTCGGTGTTTCATCTGGTGATGAAACACTGCATCTCATGTTTGATATATTACATGAAAAGTTCTAAACGTCAGTATTTAATGAAATCTAATTCGAAGCTGAGTTTGAGGACACGAATATTCGTGTCTAAACCGTCAATACTAAGGCCGGCAGCCACCCTATTTCCACAGTATGCCACATGCAGTATTTCCGCATGGAATTACTTAGCACATTGAACGGAAACACGGTTCACCAACAGATTTTTTAATCGATCTCTCTGGTTTTAAGGGAGAATTGGTAGGTTTAGTTGGCGTGTTTGGCTGGTTTAAGATTAGGCGTAACGGATCGTAAAGGATCAGCCGAATGTAAAAATTAATAAATAGTTTAAATTATCCTATTTACAAAATGAGTTTTTTTAAACGAAAACAACCTTGATACTTATTATACAACTATATTAACCGGCTGAATTATCATCTTACATCTTTCTTTTAGGCGTTTGAATGTCAAAGAAATTTGTCTTAAAAAATAAGAAAGAAACATAATTAGTCTTGTAAGTATATAAAATTAAAAACAATGGATATTAGTAATTGACTTTTTCGCTTATAATAAGTTCCTCCCCACCATATGAATACAAACATCTAGCAGACAAATTGGTGGGATTGTTTCCCGAAAAAAAAACTTCAAAACCCATGCTTGAACTGCTATAATGAAATGAAAGACTAGTAGCAGACTGGAGATTAAATATGAGGCTATAAGTTCAAACTATACCAAATAGTTTTTCGTGCCCACACAAAAGCTATCTGGTATCAAGTATGAACACTGACCTATCTGATATGTGACGCTCGGCGAGAGATCGGCGCAGCGCAGTTTTTCTCCGTTACAGAAAAAACACGTCGCAATCACCTTTTCTTGTGCCGTGTGAACGGAAGCCCTATCTGGTATAGATTTCGTGCCGGCGCTAAAGCTACCCAGTAAATAGTGTGAACATGCAGAGACTGAGACGGTAATTTTAATCCACTAAACCCAGGAAATGTGGCATATGCCCTGGCTTCAAGACATCAAGAGCTGCCGTGGCTGGCACACTTCCTTCAAAAGAAAATCAAATATTTATTGGGAGCGACGTGATCTTCTATTTAAGGAGCAAGGGTGTTTTGTTTTCATTTAAAAACACTTTCTTGCGTCTGAAAAGTAAGGTTTTATATCAGGTTTTTTTCCCTTTGATATGGAAATACCTACTTTCCACGATCTAGAACCATTTTGACTGTGTACTAAACCTTCTGCAAAGTGTGCTAGTGTCTCAGAACGATGTCTAGTCTTGTTCCTTACTTAAAGGGCTCTTGGTGGGAAAAAAAAAGACTCTGCAGACGTTTGATTGAAATCGAGACCAATAGAGACCTTTAGTTTGGTTCAGGAATTTGCAGCCATAGTTTTACACTTACTTATTACCATCACACAGCCACAGGAAGTTTAGTGCACACTTTCTAGGTTGCGCAAGTCTAAATATTGAAAATCAATTGCTTCGCTACTTACCAGAAGTAAAATCATTTTACTTCTGGTAATTAGAGAAGCAATTGAAAAAAAGAAGAACGTCAGTGTCAATTACAATCTAGGGAAGGACTCAGGAACAGAAAACTAAGTCACTAGCATAGCTATCCACTAAAAATTTATTCATCCTGTAGAAACACGTGGGTATGAAAACAAAAGTTAAAAGGAGACTAGAAAAAGCACGTGTATCTGAAGCTTGGCTCGAAACTACAATCATTGACTTGCAAAAAAGGGTGAGCGTTTAAAACATAGTCTTTGGCAACGTGCCTGAGGCAGAAAGCGTGGAGTGTGTCTACATGACAGAATTTTTGAACAACCTTTTTCATGAGCATATGGAATCGAATGGAGCAAAAGAAATCGAAATAATGTGAGGAACATTCGTAAACGACCATGAGAAAAAATAAAAGTGCTGCAAAGCCGAGCCTTATTCATTTGTATAAAGTATTCAGTACTAATATCCTTCAATACGGTGAAATGTCTGAAACAAAACCAGTGCAAATGCCCCTCGCTTTTTTTTATTATTCCGGATGCCTTTACGACAGAGAATCGAGAGGAAACGAACGAAGAAGTGAATGAATGCGAGATAAAGGAAAGTGAGGTCAACAATGTCAAAGATTACCAAACGTTTTTTTAAAGTTATTTGATTCAGTAAGCTTTCTTTTATTGGAAAATTTCAAAAGCAATATTCCAGTTGGAAAATTTCGTTGGGACTGTCATTTACCACATACACAAATCACTGGGGCCATTTACAAAGATCGCACGGCCAGATCGCACCGAATGCCTAAAACTGGGAAACGATTTTTCTGTTAATTTCTGTCCCTCCACATCGCAGCCAATGCGCAGCCTTCTACCATTGAAGAAATGATGTCACGGGATTGGGAATAAATCAGCGGCAGCCAATCACAGACTGTTTTACTTCCAGCGGCTCAAGTTACGTTCTACAAATCACTCAAGTAACGGTGCGATTTATGGTGGGTTTCTTGGAATGTGGTTATTCTCTGTCTTGATTCTTCAACAAATACCCCTATTACTTCGCTAAAAAGGTTAGTAAAACTTCCTTAGAAACGTTAACATTTATAGTGTTGTAGAACACTAAAATTTCCTTTTTAAATACATCCAGCGTGTTGTAAAGTTTCTCGAGGCTGTAAGCATAATCCTATTTCAGATTTCAGTCGAAATCTCGTGATTTTTCAAAAGGAAAATGGTTCCATATTCTGACATGAATAGCTGCTGTGATTTTGCTTGTTTGCTGGAAATAACTCTGTGAAATAATTATTTAGCCTGCTTTATTCATTTATATAAGTTGTGTCGATACCCGAACTCTTTTAGCTCATGTTCGTCATGTTCAGATACTTCGCTGCAAGGGAATCAGCAGACATCAGCACATCGAATGATGTGTTGATGACGATTTCCATGGAAGCCCGGAAGAACTACTATTTTCTAGTTTAAATTTATTTAATCTTGGACCCCTAACAAACTTCCTGCATTGCTTATTGAGGCATTGTATTAAAACTTGTTATTTTCTTCACAAGGTAAACTGGAGTCAAGCAGTCCAATTTATAATGAGGAAGGTCATTTTGAGTGCGATTGTTGTGGTGGTGTTTGAATTTATATCCATAAACACAGGTAAAACTATATAAAGTAGCTTAAATCCTCACCTTAGTGTAGCAAATTCTAAAACAATTGTGATAATCAACTCAAGTTTTAAAATAGCTTGATCGCATCATCCAAAAGAAAGTAAATAAAAGGAATGATATAATAGCACTGCAGTGGAACTCTGGTGATTATGCAAATATTTAGTAGCAAAATAGAGAGAGACTATAATATGATCTTAAAGCTTTCACGATGAAAGCAAAATCTTTTATTCAGAAGAGGGAAGGTACAAAAGAAAATCTTAGTGGTGGAGAAAAAAAAATGTATGAAGTTTTCTTCTGTATCCGTGAGTTAAGGCAACAGATCATGAAATACTTTGACTTCAGCCTGGAAAATGCTGACCTTGATCATATGGTACGTTTTGTATTTTCCGATGGGGCAGTGTAAGATGCAGACTGCCGACTGACTTTGGACTATTGTTTTTAGGGTTAGAAAACAATGGGATTATTGTTGTCATGTTCTCATTTGTTTGGTGAAAACAATAGTCTGCAGTCTGCGGCGTTTTACACTGACCAATTTTCCAATCTGGATCTGGCAAATACAGAACTTATATGTCTCCTATCCATACAGCAATCCCTTGTCACCCCAGCTGCAGTGGTCAAGGAACATGTCTGAAAGATGGACAATGTCTGTGTTGGTGGGGATGGACTGGGCCTAATGCAAAGTACATTGTATCTGGGTCATTAAAGAACAGAATACTGGTAAGAGCTGAGTGACCTCCTTAGAATTATGGTGAAAAAACAAACAAACAAAGAAAACAAAAAATCATTTAACCTGATTTCACGTATGATGGTTCAAGAACAGTAATTAAAGTAAATTTATTAATTATTTTCACTCCCATATCACTTTTGGACTATTGGTAGTTCACATGCACCTGTAGAACCTATATACAGTGCATTCAGAATTTTGCACCTAACTTGCATAATCATATGTGGCTAGTGCTAAAGCTACCAGGATTTCAAAACTTTGGATGAAAGGTTTCTTTGTGTAAATGTATGGTTGATGTGACCCTTTAACCTATAGTATCAAAAATTAACTTCTCATTTCTACTGAAGTAGAGGGGAGAATTTAAGTATCAACTCATTTTATATTTTATATTTTGCAATCCTGTCCTTAAATTCTTGTCACCAACTACTTTTATAAAGCATTGATATTATAAGCAGAAATTTTATGCTGATCACTACTAGGTTAAATGGATTATGTTTCAGATGAGATACCATGAGAAAACAGCTCACATTCTGTGATGCCACCACTGGTTTCCTCACAAAGTAAGGTCTGAGGATCAAAGACGATGAGATGACTGGACTGATGATGTGTTAATTAGGCTGGTTTTCACTAGCAATGGAGTCAGAGTTGGAGTTATAAGCTGAGTCATTAGAGTGCTTATGATCTAGTGAAAATAAAAAATCAGAGTCCTAAGTGCTTACGCTCCTTTTATGATCTAGTGAAAACCAGATTGTCGGAGTTGGAAGCAGAAGCAGAAGGATAAGCCAATCACAATGCATGTTCCCACACTTTGTGATTGTGATTGATTTAATTCTTCTGCTTCTGCTTCCAACTGCGACAGTCTAGTTTTCACTGGATTATTATAAGTGGAATGTAAGTGACGGAGTCGTAAGCAGAATCGGAACGCTGTTTTCACTAGATCAGAAGCTCTACATTCTTATTCCGACTCCGACTCTGTTGCTAGTGAAAACCAGCCATAACTACACAGGTCTGGATAGTGCTTCTCTGTGGTTGAAGCAAATTTCTTCCATGGCATGCACTGATCAGAAGCACTACCAGATGTGGGTAGTGACTACATGTCATAAATATCAATACCCTCATTAGTTCTTTAGACATCATTTCATGGGGAAACGGCTATTTTCTATAAGGCTACAGCTGAGTAAGGAAAGATTAATTTGCTTTTTCTTCCTTATTTTCAGGCAGACTACTGCACAACTGCATGCCATTATACTCATGACTTTCAAAATCCTTTGTGTGCCATTACCCCTACGAGGCCCCCATGCGATCCATTATGTGGCACAGGTACAGCTGATGTCTAATATTTTGGTAGCTCATTAGTTAATAAAATGTTGTTCAGAAGTGGCAAAAAATCTTTTTTAGTGTTTCTATTATTTGGAGATGTTACTGTAAGTGAAAAAATGGTTTCTTTTTAGTCTGTGCAAAAACAGTACAACAAGCTTAAGGCATTCGCGATTTCTTATTGGTAGTTATGTTGGCATGAGAACAATCATCTGCATGGCATATAGGTCAAGAAAAGCCTCATTGTTTTGTATAGAAAATAATTAAAAGTTTTCTACTCATAATTACAAAAATGTAGCTTAGAAAGGTTCTTAAATCCTTCTAAAAGTATGACCTCTCAAAACATGCATGTAAGTAATATCCCAAACTGAAGTTGCTGTGAAGGTATATTCCTGGCTCTTAGTACATAGTGATACCACTACATTCTTTGCCTTGGTTACAGTGCTCTGCTCTAAGAGGAGTCGCAGAAAGCCAAGCTGAGTCTTGGGGCACTGTTTTTGTTTAGGAAAGTAGAATATTATTATTTTTATAACTGATACTGGTTGACTTGTAAATTATCACAGGGACATACAATGGCCTGGGAAGATGTCTGCCCAATGGGCGTTGTCTCTGCTGGTGGGGCTGGACTGGCCCTAATGCCGCTTATATCAATGGAGGGATGTACACCAACAGAATTGTGGTAAGGATCATGTTGTAGCAAGGAGAAGAGAATTGAGGAGTGGAAAAAAAAGAGGGTAGTAGGGGTCAGGGTGGCCTGAATTTTGGTCGACTTACTTTGCTGCATTTTCTTGGGTCTCTGGGCTGGTTCCTTTACAGAACAAAAAGGAGTGGCTAAGAAAGACATGTCTGATAGCCAGGGGATGGTGAATTTTGGTATTGGCCTAGTAAATTCTGTTCTTAACTTACCTGATGGGCTAGTGAAGTTTTTTGGGATGATTCAGATAACAGAAGAACTGTAATCAGTCCTGCTTGTCAAAAATTTTTTCAGGCTATTTAAAATGGCCATTGGATTAGTTAGTAATCACATATGCTAGTTAAAAACTTGCCCAAAGGGTAAGCTGCAAAACTGACTTTTTTGCATCCTGAAAAATTTATTTCACACTCACGGGTTTGTTTTATTCTTCAAAGGCTGATAGCTGTACTAAAAGCTGCAGCTACACACAGGTTTACAGAAATAACAAATGTGTTACAGCTTCAGCAACAACCAAACCATCAACACAGCCACTGAGTACAGGAAGCCCAACAACAGGGATACCAAGTACAGTGAAACCAACTATCCCCCAAGTGTGCAGTGTGCCAGTTAACAAAACTGTGCCGCCCCTCTCCTGTGATCCACTATGTGGTTCAGGTAACGTCTGTTCCTTGAAAACAGTGTATTATAGATAAAATCTCAAGAGTTGCTTACTTACTAAAGCACAATTATAACAGTCACGTAGGGAGAGTGTAATCGCAGCAAAGACAATATCAGCCACTTTACACTTCAACACTATCTATGTGAAAAATCAGTAAGTGCTACTCGTCTGGGTTGTGGTGCTTATTGGGGGGGGGGGGGGATTCTATGTATTAAGATTTTTGCTTTTAGGTGTGATTTGTATTCAAGTAAATACGGTATATGGAACTGATTCTTTAATTTTCATAAAGTCTGTAACGGCAACCTACACATAGGATTTCACACTATTCTACTGTGCTTGGCAGAGGTAAAAGAAGGTTCCCCTTCCCCCCTCCCTTAACAAGATGTTCCAGTCTTGTTTGAGAATGTTACTGAATTTTGGTTGCAGGTCCAACTTATCACAGTACTGGACAGTGTCTCTCTAATGGGCGTTGTCTCTGCTGGTGGGGGTGGACTGGTGCAAATGCCTGCTATGTTGATGGAGGAAATTACAACAATAGAATTTTGGTAGGTGTTGTTGTAACATGATTTAAGGGAACTGTTAAAGCTTACTTGGCTTTTAGGTATCATTAGTAGCTCTGTCAGTGTTTTGTGTTTATGGTATAACAAGGGGGTCCTCCCATGTCATGCACATTTATTTTTGTTTTATTTTTCTCTCCAAAGGCTGACAGTTGTGTTAAAGGGTGCCATTACACACATATGTACAGAAATAATAAGTGTGTTACAGCTGCACCAACAACCAAACCGTCAACACTGCCACCGAGTACAGGGAGCCCAACATCCATTCCTTTGACAACTGTGATACCCAGCACAGGGACTCCAAGTACTGTGAAACCAACTGCAGGGAAGTCAAGCACTCTGAATCCAACCACAGGTAACCCAACATCGTCAAATCCAACCACAGGAAAACAAGTAACTACAGTACCACCAAGTACAAAAACCCAAACAACAGGCTTTCCAACTAAATTCAAACCAACCTCAGACCAGTCAAGCACTATGAAACCAACCACAGGTAACCCATCTAATCCAACCACACAAAAACAAGTAACTACACCGCCATCAACTACAAAAAGTCAACCGACATGGTACCCAACTACACTGAAACCAACCACACGGAAGTCAAGCACGATGAAATCAACCACAGGAAACCTAACTACCAAGTATGCACCTCCAACAAGTCAAAGCACTAGTACAGTAAAAGTAACCACAGGACAACCATCAACAAAACAGAAGACAAGTCAGCAACCTGCAAGTACAAAAACAGTAAAACCATCCACGAAGGTGTTGACAACACAAGCCCCAATACCCACGACCACAGCTGCTGCTACCACAACCCAAGCTACCACTATAGAGCCAACTGAGCCTCCAGAGCCAACTGAGCCTCCAGAGCCCACAGAACCTCCTGAGGCCAATGATGATACTCTTGGAGCGCTTGCGAACGTCCAAGTAAGGATGCTGTAAACACCCAGTACTGTGTGTAAATTAAGACCGTAGGACTCATCAGTGTGGCATACCCCCAGCGAGACTACATTGCTTGAAAGTTACAGGGCTTGAAAACAACTTTTAATTCTAGGTGAAAGCAGCTCTTAATTTTCGCTTGCTCCCAGGGGGATAGGGGAAGCTACATGTTCCTGTCAGTTTACTGTTTAGTTAGAAGATGACTTGCTGGGTCCTTGCCGGTCAGGCAAGTACATTTACATACATAAGTGTAAGTTTGAAAAGTTACTTGCCTGAATAGAAAATCTACTTGGGACTGTTTTCAAGCCCTGAGTAACTATGTATGAAATTCCTTTTGCTGCTGGAGTATGTGTAAGGCACTCAATCTTTAAGCCCCTTTTAAACTGCACTGAATGTGTATACTGTCTGCCACGGTCTGCCACCATGGCTGTAGAGAGGCTTCCTTTCCAGGGAGATGGCTATAATGAAGGGTTTGACTCTATATTTGTCTGAAGGATTTGCCCTGCAAGTAAATCATTTTTGTTACCAATTCTATTACCAAGAACTTTGTTAAGCTAAACACAGATAGCATGGTTTAAGTCGTCCCTTGGCAACCCATTAGCAGGCTCCACTCTAACAAGCCATGTTTTGTTCCCCACCATAGTTACAAAATGATGCTGAAGTTGCAAAGTCAAAAGAAAGTGGAAAGAAAGAAGTCAAGAAGGAGAAGGATTTCAGTCCCACTGCACTGGTGATAGTTGGCGTTGTGTTGCTGCTTTGTGTTATGGGGTTGGTGATTGCTGTTTGGTGGACATATGGCAATGGAAGCCAGGTCCCCAGTCTTCTGCGTGGCTATGAACCAGTTGAAGCTGGCGATTCCAACATGATGATGCAGGAGTTATCACAGACAGCTCCGCTGCCTTAGTGAAGAATGAGCAATTTATAGAGATTGGTTGTGATCTGTTCTTACATTAACCAAAAATATATTAGGTTTGATTACTAGATGCATTTTACGCATTGAAACTGAGGGCGTGTTCCACTACCGTCATCATTAATAGAAGGGGTGCAAGGGATAAATCCTCTAGTAACTTTTCACGTAACACCCATTTTTTTTTAGTCACCAGCAAAACAAGGAAATTTGGTAAGAGAATCTACTAATTTATCAGAAGTCTGTAAGGGTTTTAGAACAAATTTTTATAACATAACATTTTGTGCTGATTCATGCTCTTACATATACTAGCTATACAGTGATGAAGATGTATAAAATTTTGTATCCAGTAGATAAATACAAATGATCATTAGCAAAACTGAATTTTTGTAACTTGTTTTCAAATTGTCATTATTTTACACTCTGTGGAACTGTTACTATTTTATAATCTCTAAATTATAGACTATGTTATAGCAACATCATTGAACTGATAATTCAGTAGTTTTTCATGCCTTGATGACATATATAACTAGATATTTTTATTAACATAGCATGAAGTGAAATGACTTTTTTTATTGATAGTTTGAACTGACAGAAATGTATCTGAGAAAAATTATTAAAATAACTGCTGTTTGATAGTTTAAAATATAGGTTACAGTTGAGCCTCGATTATCCGGACTCTTTGGGACTTGAGTAAATTCAGAGTCTGGATAATATGAATATTAATGAGACAAAAATGAAAACTATCTGAGATCTGCTGCTTGCTGATTTTAAACTCGAGTGCTAAATATACTTGTTCCTTTTTCTCCTTTCTCCAAACGTGAAATAATCATTTGCTTATCCTTTATTGAGAGAACGGACTGCTTTGGTTGTGTAGACATGGCTGTGATTTGAGTGGTCTTATGTTTACATAACCAACATGGAATCAAGCATGACATTCCCATAGCAACATGACAATTGAACCAATCAGAATTCAGTTGAATGCATCAGAACAACTGTTCATCTCGTGCCGGTCATGTTTTTTCAACGCAAAACAGATTAAAACAGTGTTTCAAACACATGTTTGGAAGGATAATTGAACTTTTAATCGTTTCAGTTTTTCAAGATCACATCTTATTAATATTCATGAAAAGAAACGGGACCAGAGAAACAAGTCTGGATATCCCAGGTCCTGATAATCAAGGCTCGACTGTAATAGAAAGTAGTTTTTTCAATACCCATTAAATTAATGCCTGGAGAGAAATCTTTAAAGTTACTAAAAGAACTCTTTTGATGATAAAGTTTACTTCAGAGGTAGTGTTTTGGAGGTTAAAATTTAATTTATTCATAAAAATATATATATGTCTACTAAAGTAAAAGAGATTTAATCATATTAGTTTAGCCTAGTATTTAGATATAATGTAGTCGTACTTAATTATGGTCATACATTTGAGAACAGAGGTTATCCCAGATTGTCATAACAAAAAGATTTTTTTTAAGACCAAGAGATTTACGTCGTGTGAATTCACTCTATAGAACTGTATTGTTACAATCATCAATGTTAAAATTAAAGAAACCAAAACAGAGATGGAAAAGTGGAGGTGTAAATAATTGATTGTTGTGTCATACACCATACTGATAATTTGTATTTGAGAATGAGAATTGTCTTACTATAAGGTTAGACAGTAACCCTGCAGAGCATTTATTTTTCATCTTCTCTAAAGAGGTGATCTTGTGAACCTTACTGTTCTTTTCAGTAACATGCAAACAGTCAAGTCAAAACTCTAACCAACATTTTACGTTTTTTGCTTCTGTCAATCACCCTGACAGACCACTTAGGAAACACAGCTTTTCTTCAGCAGGTTTTAAAGGTCACGTCTGTCAGTTGTGATATCTAGATTTCGAATCCATTTTGCTTTGTTTGTTTTGTTGTAATTAAGATTGACAGAAGCAAAAACCATAGCTGGTTCCATTCTTTGACTTTTGAGTTTCCATGTTATTGAAATGGTTAAAGAGAGGTTCCCAAAACATTTTAGTTTACTTTCGAATGTGTCTTAAAGTGCACACTGTAAGTCTGCTTTGAATGTCATTGTCCACTCAGATGGCACGGCAGAATATTATTGCAAACTTCAATCTCATCACCAGAGCCTTCAGATCTCACAGCTGCACATGACCCAAAGCTCTTCTCATCCATAGCCATGCTTATTAGAGAAGAGCACTGGGGTTAAGAATGTGCAAACTTCTGACTGTCCTTTCAAATCCTACTTCACCTTGAATGTCCATCGTATTGTTAAAACTTTTTACTGCTTCAGTGTCCTTTTCAGGTGCTGGTTCAATGTTCAAAGGATGGATAGTGCTATCTACCAAATCACTTTCCAGTGGATAAGTACTAGGGACACCAATAACTTGCATTTATGCAATGGATGGCGTTACCCACCTTTTGAACAGATGGCGATTTCACTAACCATACTTCCTTGAAACGACATGGCTTTTACATAAATCTTATTTCTTATTATCACTATTTCCTTGGTACACTCATTGCTTTGCGAAGTGTTGCACAGTTTGTTTGAACTCTTTGCATGGTGATGCGACTGAGTTCTGCTTCCTCTTGTCCTTTTCTAACTGTTGCTTGATAATCCAGTTGTAACATTTCCGAATCTAATGGAATGGCATTTACACCGGAGGACAGGAGCTTTTCATGAAGCGTGTCTGTCAGTTTGGACAAGCCATCCAAGTCAGCTAGTTCATGTAAAAGGAAATGAACTAAATTTAATGTGGACACCTTAGCCCTTCTCAAACAACAGGGCTGAATTATGGAGTTTTGCTGTACTGTTGCAGAGTGATATAATAGTGAAAGTCTCTTGAAGCCAGACAACATTGAGACCTGCACCAAGGGCATGTCTTGACTGTTCATAGCCTCCTATTTTTCCTTGTAGTACTTACGGCCAGGTGCAGTCATCTTGGTTTCATATGTACTAAAGGGGTGGTCATTGTAAGTGGTGGGGGGAGAGCCCCTTTGAGGGTAAAATTTTGACAGGTGACAAGGCCTTGAAACAGCGACACTCGACTACTTGAAATGAATGAGTTACATGTAGCACCACCAGAGAAACACCCTACTCCTCAAAATGTCAAATGACTGTACAGTGGAAGCTCTAGCTCCTAATGGACACTCTCGTAAGCGGAAAGCTCTACTTACAGCCACCCTCACAAAATGCCGTTTTTCTCAGCTCCCATACAAACTCCGTATTTTTACATTCCCGTAAGCAGCCAGCCCCAGTTACGGAAAACTTTTTCGCTTCCCGAGGGTGTCCACTCACGAGAGCTTCCTCTGTATTTGAAATTCAGACTAGGGACATACGAACCCCTCCCTCAGAGGGCCTCAGGGGAGGGAACAAGAAAAATTTTGTCACCCCTGAGCTCTAAGTAGATTTCAAAATGTTGAAACCAAGATTGTCGTTCCCTAAAACCAAAACAGGAGTAGAAAGTAAATTTGTGTGTTTCAAGGAAATACACATACCCACCCCATGGGGGAACACTGGAAATTTCTGGGGTGGGGGGGTAGGGTGGTATTGAAAGCTAAAATTTGTAGTGGAAAGTGAACAGCTAAACTGGAATTTCCAGAAGGGGTGGGGAAAGGAACAAACCCATATAAACTCCCAATGGCCGGGAGAGTGTGGCAATTTTCTAGATCTACACATCATATTAAAAGTTAATCGTTTACATTGTACCTACTTTTGGCATCCTCAATTGAGTACGACATACCAGATCCCATTTGCCTACAAAAAAATTAAAATTATTATTGTCGTAAGTCTTTGCTTTTCTGGTAGGGTGTGTACGTTGTGGTTCAATTTTATCTTTGGTTTAAAATTTTATTTCCCTTTGTTTTAAACTCACTACCATACATTACCATACCCTTAAACAAAGGGAAATAAACTTTAAACCAAGGATAAAATTGAACCACAACACGTACATCGCTTTTAAAGCGTGTATAAACGTAAGCTTATGTTTTCAAATTAATTTCATCAGGCTGTTTCATCATTGTCCACCGTGATGTTGGTCAAACGTGACAAAGAAAACACGATTTTTTTTCTTACAAAAGAGTGAGTTAAACTTACATGGCCGTAAAAAATTTACCAGCTTGTTGATGAACTAAATCCAAAACGGAGTCAAGATCGTTCATTTTCAGATCGGCAGCCGCCATGTTATTCCTCTGCCGTTTTTTTTTTACGAGAATCCGCTGTTCAGGATTAGAAACGAAATGAATCTGAGATGGGGAGGGGACGGGGAGGGCGTGAGTATAAATTGTAAATTCCAGTTATTTTCTTTCCCTGAAATACATATCAAGTCTAAAATGTCTTAAAAGTTAAATAGTTAACGCATTCAAAGTATCTTGGTAGTCAGATTTCTTCATTTCCTTTTACTATTAAGATTTAGAATTAAAACTAATATGTGTAACCTTACCCTCCCCTCCCTTGGAATAATTTGATTACAATCATGGCGCCCTGTGGTGGTGCCAAGCAATTTCCGTCTTTGTTTGTGTTTTGAAAGTTTCGAGTAAGGTTTATAAATTTCCTTCCATCAACATGGATTTTTCGCCAGTAGCCATTAAAGAAGCAAATACTCACATTCAAGGATTAATGAAACGCATTCACGAGCTTGAGGAACAAGTGAAAGAATTATCGGGGGCTCTGAAGAAGCAAAACGAAGCACACGCCGAGAATTTAAAGGTCCTTCCTCTTCGAATGCATCAAACTTTGAGACAGAAAGATGAAGAAATAACAGAACTGAAAGAAAAACTCAAATCATCTGAGAGTGAAATCAAGAGGCTTGTCCAAGAAGCGAGCGAAAAGGAGCAACTGTTTCAATACTTAAAGAATCGCTCAAGAGTTCTGGACGAAATTTTGAAACATCGAGACGCCTTCGAGAGTGTTTTAACATGTCTAAGTATCTTAGAAGATTCTGACTATTGTACCACGCCTAATGAAGGAAAGGTTTCCCTAAATGGCGCCCCCAGAGAAACTGATTTGTTGGACAGCGAGGATGAAGACATAAATGGCAATACAAATTCACCAGTCAAAAGAGCTGACAGTGGATATGAACCAGGAGCTAGTACTAGCTCGTCGTCGCTTGATATAGGAAATGGTGGAGCAAATGGAAAAGGTGCGTTTAAACAGGAAAATCCATTTGGTGATGTGTTTCTACCGCAAGGAGAAGAGCCACCGCCTTGTTTTGTCTAAACTAGGAGTACGAACTAAGAAGAAATTAACGTAAATGAAAGACTGGCATGGTCAGATAGGCCAATATATTATTATCAAATATGTTTTAAAATTTAAGCATGTTTGTCATATGACTCTAAATTCAATTTTTTTACAAAGAAAAGCCCAGGAGATACCCCTATAAAGGATGTAAAAACCACAATTGTCATAAAACAAATTTGACAAAGGAGTCTAGGCAAATAATAGTGTCAAAACAAAGAAAACTGTCACAGATATTTTTTTACTCAGATAATAACCCAAAATGTTTGTATTGGTACTGCCTACTAGGATGCTAATACGAGAGGTGATCACTGCTAGGGTTATAACTACTCATAAGTCAATTAGGTCATCTTAACTACCAGTGAAAAAAAAATTGTCAGTGGCACCTAGGGGGCGGGAGGAATGGGGGGTTGAAAATGAATTTCAGCTATGCCCTTTAAAACACAAGCACCCCTACCTTAGGAAGTTCACCCCACCCCTTCCCCCCATCCTAGGGCATTATTTATAGAGATTGGCATGATATTCAAAGATGATAGTTGCCCTGTAGAGTTGCATCATTGCAGAGGCAGAAGATCAGTTTACTTGTCTTGTATATCAAAAGGGCTTGGAAATGCCCAGTTCTTGGTTCCATTGGGATCCACCCTTTGACCAGGGTAGTTTTCTGAGGGGGAGACTTGAAGGTTCTCTCCCAAAATACCTTTAACACTAATATCATTATTTATTATAATTGGATGAGGCTGAGTAGTTTCTGATGAATTATGAAGTTTGAGGAGGGTGATATCTGCAGAGGTTGAAAATCCCAAACTCAAACAGGGCATCTATATTTGACACAATGCGTATGACACTAATAGGGTATACTAGAACACTAACCATAGCTTAGTTATTGACAATATATTGTCCTAATCGAAGGTTAGGGTGCAATGTTTTTTTTTAATAGGTCCAAATGTGGAGACCTGAGTGACACATACCCAGCCAAAATCAACCTGAATACCGATCCCTGGAGAGGGGCATGGGGCACACTTTTTTTCTCTCTTCTCCAAATCATTCCCTATTTTCTCAGTTTGAAAATGGTGCAACCTCGTCCCCAGGGCGAAAAGCGCCCTGGGGACGAGGTTGAAAATGGTGGTTCTTTCATATTAAATACAAGGGAGTGTCAGTAGGGCTTTCAACAAGTTGCTCAGCAATGTTTTGGCAACTTCTGGCATTTCGAGCAACTTTTTGCATTCGGATTAATTTCTCTAGTTTTCTAGCAATTTCTGAGATAATGAAAAAGCCTTAGTGCTTAAATTGGCAAAAGAACCCAAGTAAAACCATCCTTGAGTTTCAGTGGGGGATTATTTTCCAGTCCAATGTAACCCTACTCCTATTGTAAGGTATTTGAACTATAATTCAAGCAGTTTTAACAGAAATATTTGAAATGGCACATAAACTGGCTGCCACAAAATAAGTAATTGTCGTCATGCTATGTACTTATCTTTTTGCACAACCATCATGGGGAATTTATATGTCCAAAAACCCAAAAGTGCCTGTTGAAAAAACTCAGGGCAAACTGAATGTGTGCTTCCAAAAAAATCCATACCTCCCCCACAGAAGGTATTTTTCCTTAGACCCCCCCCCCCCACCTCTCTGGAAATTCCAGTCAAGCTTCATACATTTACTTAAATTTTTGGGCCTTTGAGAACCCCCAACCCCAAGGAATTTCCAGTCCCTTCCGTTGGGAGAGCATGGGTATTTTATATGAGAAACCTCTTGACATTGCTTTTTACTGAAATAATAAATATTAAATAAATAATAAAAAAGAAATTATTATTACTATTATATATCTTTAGATTCCAGATGAAAGCTCCAAAATTTATTTTATCTCAGTTTATTTTTTTTAAAGTGATTAATTTATTATTATTATTATTATCATCATTATTATTATTATCATTATTATTATTATTATTATTATTATTGTTATTATTTGCAATTTAGCCATCACTTTCAATTTAGGGTGTTATTACTTTTGACTGGGGATCTTCTTTGAAAATCCCAATAGAGCTTCCTAAGATCTCCCACCTTTGTAAACCAATGAATTGTAACTAGTAGACATATATGTATCGTGATGGGCGAAATAAAATCAGACCCATCAACCCTTAAAGTAAGCGCATGTAAAAATGACGGGCCTCGTGAATAAGGTCTGTTTTGCTCATGAGAACCTCTGAAAAACCTGACTGTGTTCGGAGAAATCAAGGAGGCTAAAAATGGGCAAACGAGTGGGCGAACTTAAGAGCAGCGCGTGGGATCACGTGGTTATCGGCGTGTATCAGGGACGTTTCGCAAGAGAGAAATAAAAAATGTCCCTCGCGGCGTAGCCTGAGTATCAGGCGTTCGTGGAAGAAAGGGGGAAAGACGAAAGCGAAAAAGGGAGAGAGCTTCCTTCAGCTCTCTCTCCCCCTCCCCTCTCCCCCATCTAAAATCTCCTCTCCCCTAGCCCCTTAGGAAGGCCTGATACTCAGGCTACTCGCGGCGAGGCGCCAGGAGAGAAGGTTGCGTTGCTAGGACGCTGGTAACAAGCAAACGAGTGGGCGCGTCCAGCGCTTTGAATCACGTGGTCATTGCGCCTGTCAAAAGTTTATTTCAATTCAAAACATCCGGTCTCCTGGCTTCCTCTTTATCTGCTTACAGTACAAATACTAAAACGGAAGTTGTGAAAAATTGCAACCTCTAAAGTCGCTTTCTTTTAACATCGTATAAAACTAGAACGTAGTTGAAAATGAGTTGGTCTTTCTTGAAAAATGAAAATGGCAACAGCTTCGGTTCTTCTTCACGCGAATCCTTTGTTTGATTGAAGTTCCCTTACTTCACACAACGCCGAATGTTTTTTTTTTCTTTTCTAAACTGCCTTTGAAATGGAAACCTTATTGCCTCATCCACGTCACGGCAATGCGAAATTTCGGGTCGTTTTAGTAAGCCGAGCAAACGAATACGAGAATTCTTGTAGAAAAGAACAGAGATTATGGAAACGTGTTCTGAAACATGTAACGTTACGGTAACTCCACCCGCCGATAATACTACAAGGGTCACTGCGTAAAAAATTATATCACTCAAAGTGCAAATTTATGTTTCAAGTACTGCTGTTTCGTTTTGAAAGAAGCGCAACAGGAAACCCGCCTTCGTACGACACGGACAGCTGACAGCTTTTTACACTTGACATTACTTGGGAGTGTTGGGTCAGAAACGCAAAAGTTCTTTACTGACCAAAAATCGATTATTTTGTTATCCCAGAACCAGATATAACAGGCCACCTCGCTCGCATAACTTGATAATCATAACAAAAACACGAAATTAAAACTCAAAATCGATGCTTTTGTCTTGTTCCGGCGTTACCTGGTGGCAACATCTGCGCTGTGATACGACTTAGCAGAAGCGATCCAAATCTGCTGTCTTTCTGTTCTAAAACTTCACTCCTTTTTGGAATATTCAAGGTAAGATTAGATTCCTTATGGCTAAAAAGTAATTTCAAAGGGTGTTCAGCCTTTTTTATGGTTAGGTAAGTGATCAAAATACTTTTAATGTCACAGAGATTAATGCACTCGAAATATTTTGTAATTTACCTCTTCAACTTCGGTGATGGTGTAGCAAGTCGATTAGCTTAAAATGAAAGCACATGTATTTCTTGGCCAAGTTAAGGCAGTCTTATCGCACTTTTACGTTTGTACATGGTTTAGGGCCCCAAATAAAACCACAATGACAAACCAGTGAGAAAAAGTTAGTGTCAGCAACTAATTGCACGGTTTGGGCGTCACTGTCATCTACTCATTCAATGAGTGTTAGGTTTTAGAATAATTTGTCCTCGATATATAGCACGGTTTGAATACTGCTGCTACGGAGTTCACTTTCGTTTCAGTGAGGGTTAATACTGCAAGTAGAACGCAATGCGTGACACAAGTCCGGGAGTTTTATCGTGACCTGCGAAAAGAGTTGTCGGACCGCGTGCGATTCAACGAAGGCACAATATACATTTTGCACATTAACATTTTAAAAATTCTCCCTTTACTGTTAAACTTTTATATAAAATACTCAAAAGGGACATCATTTTTGTAATAAAATAAATTAAACTCAGCATAATGTTGTTTTACAGCCGTGAAAATGAGTCAAGGTGAAAAACAAATCTTTTATATTTCGACTTTTTAGTTCTCTGCTCTGAATCATTTCAAAGAATATGGTAATTAGTCTTCCATAATGGCTACTGACAATTGCAAGTAACTCTGCCCTCTCAACAAAGTCAGAGTCCGTAGAATCGAATATGGCTGAAGAAAAAACAATTTAAAACAGGTCGTCATGTAGTAAAATAAAGAACTAAAAACAAGAAATTAAACAAAGAAACCTTGAGAACGCGTGCCGTGCTCTCTGTGAAGTCTTTACAGACAGAAATTTGTCGTAAATTTGTCGTAAATTTTACATTTAAAACTTTATGAAAAACTGGTTTAATAAATAGCTGGGGAGGCTTTGACAACGAAAAACGGCGAAAATTTTTACGATTGTGTGCAGGTGCCAATTTTGATAATTTATGTTTGGCACAATGAATGATCCCCCTGTGTGAATTAATGAAGTTTGCTATTTTCCCCTTTGTCCTTTTTTGTTTTGACAAAACATCCAGTGTATCATAATTGGGTTTAGAGATAAAGCAATAAATTATCAATGGCGTCGCTTTTGTTTTTGCTAGACACACTGCACTTTGTTGAGTCCGGTTCTAGCCTGCGTAGCAGGCGCTAGGAAATCAGGCGCTAGGAAATAAATGGGCGCAAGAAAAAACGCGCGCGAGGGAGACACGCGAGGTCCCCGAAACTAGTCTGGTCCGCGAAACAGTTGCGAGGGTTTTAAATTATTTGAGTTATGAATTCGTGGCCAAGATGTAAATTTTTTTTTTCGTACCGGCTTTCGTCATTAATAACTTGAATTCGATTAGTTGAACATGACCGCCACACGTTTATCGCCTGCAATAATAAGTTTCCTCTCCTCCTAAGGAACCCATGGGCGACAGCCAGGGCGTGGTGAAGTTGGATTGGAACTTTGAAGGATGGAGGGACAAAACAAAGGCCATAAAAGAGGAGATCAAGCGACAAAGCGAAGCCAATGAGTTGTTCTTCGTCAAAAATGCCAAAAAGATCAATCTGGCCGATCTCCAAGAGAGCACTGGTAATATTTACACGTTTGGAATCATGGGAATGAGTGGGTCTGCTGTGGTCAATCTTCTGCGTCACGTGATCATGGAATACCGAGAGAAAGACAGCGGTCCTTTCTACCTCAAGTTTGCCGCTGATAAGAAATTCAAAGTTGAGCTTATGCCGACGCCACTTTTACCCGGAAATGGACTGATAAAAGTTGTCGGGCGATTAAAATACTATGATTATCCAGAAATGTGCACTTTGTTGTCCAAAAGCGGGGTGACAAGCAAAGGCCTTGGAGATATGTGCTACAAATTGAACACAAGTGGCATGAAATCAGCGCTTTTCAACGCTGTAAGCCCCATGAACGAACTGCACTTTATGCTACTTTTCGAAATCGCGAGGAGGTTGGTACGAGGTGCAGATTGGAAGCCAATCTCGACTGATCCGCCGCTAGATCTGCTTCCGGTCGGCGTAATCATCGGGCGCATAATTGAGATGTTGCGCCTGGAAAAAGACGCGGCACTAAGCTATGAAAGATTATTTGGAGCACAACAGGAGCTAAACTGGTTTACAGAACCCAATATCATCCTGAAGCGGAAGAAGATGCAAGCCATCAATAGTTTGTATTTCGAAAAGTTTGTGAGGGGGCAGGCTGATGAGGTACCCTTCATTCGAAGATTTCTGGAGGAAAACAAAAATGGATACATTATAAAAACTTTACAGGGCTATCTTGACGAGTTAGAGGAAGTATTTGGCAAAATGTGATTAATATAATATTGTAAGGGTTTTTGACCAAACGTGAGATCAAGATGGCTGTATAATAGCTATTTGTAGGGTAAATCGGGCAACAAAAACGTGCAACTTGTTTTGCACCACTACAGCAAAACCGCAGGGTCCAGAGGAGATGTGTTTGTCGTTAGAACATCAAAACCCGTCAAAAACCTCTGAAAAAATGGGTTATTTTGATCGCGTTACAGTTTCGTTACACATTCTATAGACCGCAAACCAAGAGACTGAGGGCTCGCAAGATCGGCTTACAGCATAAAATACGGAAAGGGTAGCCTGCAGTGCAGGCGTTTTCTTTGAGCGCGCAATTTGCTCGCGAAAGTGCCATGAGAGAGGAGGAGATGGGGCAAGTCAAAGGGAGCGGGGAGGGGGCGGGGAGAGAGAAGAGAAGTATTTTTTTCTTCCCTCCCCCTCCCCCCTTTCCTTCTTTCGCCCTCGCACCTACCGTAAGGGTTACAAAGGGTTACTACATGTATTTCTACTCTCCCCAATCTTCCACTGTCATAAAATCAAAGATGGCGGCTACAACAATATTACGAACACGAACAAGGTTTTGCCCACCCAAAACACGCCTGCACTGCAGGCTAGCTTTGTGGCATAGTCTGTGAGAACTCACTGAACTCACCATTCATTTTTATCTTTGTTCGTACGTTTTTAAAATACCGGGAAAATATTATGGCGAGGCTGATGAGCACTCTCTTTTGACTAAGTCAGACAGCGGGAAGCTTGAAAGCACCGTAATGCGGCTTGTGGCAGACAGAGAAAAATAGTTGTCAAATTAGTTGGCCAATATAAGAGAGTTGATTTGAGCGCGGAAAGACATGCATGTTGTGGAAAGAAAATGAAAGCTGTAGGTGGATTTAACAGAAGTCTGAACCCGACAAGTTCCAGTAAGGGAGATAAAAAAAACCCCGCCTCATTCACGGTTCATTCTACGAGAACTATTCTGTTTTCGACACTTAAATACGGTGTGATTTTACTTTTAAACTCTATAAGGCATTTTTTAACTGCAGTAGAGAAAAAATTGGCAGACACAGTGAGACTTCTTTTTGTCTATATTCACACATCACTAAACCAAATTATCTTCAGCGATACTAGCTGTAAACCTAAATGTTAATCTGGAACCCGGCGTTCTCAACGAACTCATAGGTGAACCACTTTCTACTATACTAAACACTCCTTTATTGATATCTTTGCCATTTACAGCATTTTACTTTTAAACTCTAACAATGCACTACAATGGCAATTTTTAACAATGGTATTATAAGTGTATTTTCTCTGAGATTGAAAGTAAACTGCTCAAAGTGTCGAAGATAGAAGAAGACAGAACTCAGTCACATGCGCAAGGTAGATGCTACATCCCCCTTCCGCTTTACATGGCTTTCTCAATTACACATACTGCACGTATCTCCACTAAATAAAAAAGGCTAGTGCTTAAGTTTGTCATAAGTGTTCTAAAATTAGAGGAGGTCACTGAAAATCTTGTTTTGAATTTGTTTCCCTTGATCAGTTAAATCCAGTTCATCTTTCTTGATCACTCTTTTGTTTTTGCTTTTCAGCGTCTTCATCCTTAGAAAACAAGACAAATATACTTCAGACAAGTTTCACAGGCACCGCTGAAAGTTACTATTGACGAACCTAAATTGATGAAAAACTATACTAACAAAAATAATACATTTATTTTAAAACTTAGCTAAACAAGTTGAAGTACACTTTTAGTTTTAAGATTTTCTTGCTCATCATATTTGAATAAAAAATAACATCACTCATTGTCCTCATATTTTCGGAACAGCCCACGCGCGTGCAAATTAGGCCGTATACTCGAAACAAAGAGTACAAAATTATTGAAGTAACAATTGTTCAAACCATGTTTTGATCATGAAGCCTACCTGATTGAATGGTTGCTCGCTATGTTCGACTGGTTGTTTTCCTCTATTCAAGTACGGCCACTGTATGTTGATTTCCTTTGGATTCCCGGGTTCGTGATTATGTCCGTTCAAGCCGTCATTTATCCTCGAAGACGAAACGTTTTTGGTTCTCTTCAACAGAAAGAAACACAGAGTTTGGAGAGCACATATTATTACTGTTATTACTGTGCATACAACGACTAAGATAACCGGGCCTTGAAAGCACTCCATACTTCTTCGAGTAACTAAGTGTCTTCTCACAGTATCTGTTGCACTGGCTGCTGTTTAATCCAAAATGAGCTCAAATGAGACGTTTGCAGTGTAAGTAGTGTGACCTCGATTTCCTGCACATTGTGTTGGGCTTCCCCAGCCGCAAAGTGTGTACTGTTACGTTCAGTCCCGGGGGGGAGGGGGGGAGGCGCTTGGGTATTTTTTGGGTGGGTATGTGCCACCCGGGACTCCAAATTGGCAACCTGTTCGGAAAAATATTTCCCCTAAAATTGAAACCCCGTTCTAGGATTCGCCCTAAAACTGATACCCCGTTCTGGGAATGGGCCAATTGTTTATACTCCGTTCTAGAAAGTTTGTAAATTGAAATAGCCCTGTTTTTCAAAAAAGATATTTCTTTATTTGTTCGCTTCTTCATAATCATCCGGAGTACTGGAGCTCTCGTGCGTTCGAAATATTATACCCCGTTCTAGAAAACGCCTCTGAAATGGATACCCCGTTCTAAATCAGGAGCTTCAAAATGACGACCCCGTTGGGCGGCACATACCCTATAGGTAATGTATGGGAGTACCTCCCCCCCCGGGCTGCAGAATCCGCACGCCGATAATTCCAGTATCCTAGTTAAGTGGCATGTCATATCTTGAGAGATGTTTAAAAAGGCTCATAAGAAAAGTGGCTTAGTATAAATAGGTTGTTTATTTAGTCGAAGTCAGGACTTTAATAGCATGAGTGAAAGCGAAGAACCGAAAGGCCACTGAAGCGCGATTGTCACGCGCCGGGTTGGAATTACAGTTCGTTGCATCTCTCTTACTCAGACACGGTGAATGAAAATCACAAACGTTTATATTGAGCCTTCCTTAATGTTTATTTGATAGGTATTGATATTGTTGTAACATGCTCAAGAAACATTGAAGTCAAAGGAGGTCCGGTTTTTCTGTTTTGGAAGAAAGACTGGGTTTTCAATGGCTGTAGTCGACCATTCAGGGGCACCCAACGAGAATATAGGTCAAAACCACTTAAACATAGTATTGTTGAACGTATTTTAGTATTTAAACGGTAGATATAGGCATATTTTTATCCCCTAAAAATTTTTCATCTGTTCGGATTTCCTAGCTGAAAGTCTAGTGATCCGAAAATTATAGGGATCAAAACTTACCTTTTCGAAAATTTCAGCCACAAAAAAAGGCTCCCGAAAATTCTAGGTGACCTTTTAAGGGTAAACATCCGTTAAAAATGGTCAATTAAAGTAGTTTTTAGATGTTCGAAAATCCTAGCAGAGGCATGCAAGCAAAAGATTTTACAACAATTGTTCCGAAAATTCTAGATCTCAAATCGTCTTCCGAACAGATATTTTCCGAAAATTGTCGTTGGGTGCCCCTGACCATTGCATGACAGCTAGACCAGCATTTGTGTATGGTTATTTTTGATGGCATGTTTATTTACCCAGACTTTGTTGTCTTAAAAGCGTCTACGACTTAATGAAACTCTGTGCAGAATACGATTACTGAATATCTCCTGCAATCTCTGTTTTGTTTTGCGTCTGCAAGCGATTTTAGTAGCAGATAATTCACGCAATTTGTATTTTTGTCCGCATTAAGTTTCGACTTTCGATTTTTTTTGTCTGGTTTAGCTCTTAAAATCATTGCACTTTTTATTACAATGCTTTGAATATCTTCAACTTTTTTGTCAGGTTCGGTTTCCCCCTGGCAATGTCAGAAATTCGCTTGACTTTGTAAACTGCAATTATTTTCTTTTTTTTTTAATTTCTCTGAACATTTCCGCCAGCGCAATCATTGGATATGTCACAAAAAAAAAAAAAAATTTTTAAAAAAATTACCTGTGCAAGCAAAGTGCCTTTATTACAAAGCAGTATTCAAGCTCATTCAAGAAACTGTGAATAAATTATTTATCTTTAAAAATTCTAAGCTTATGCAAACAACGTTGTACTATGAAAAATTAGCTTAAGTACAAGAACAATTCTAGTAGAGTGTGTACATGAGATTTGTGTTAGAAGATTTTGAATGGAAAAATATCCTTGGTTATCTCGAGGTAAGTGACCAAGTGTTCTTCATAACAAATATATGTAACTATATTTTTTCCATAGTCAAAAAATGTCTTTTACGGAAGTTAAAATTTCAAACAAGAAAGGAGTTACATTATGGCCACTCACAAAAAATGTTCTGACTGTTTGAATTATATGAAAGCGTCTTGAAACTCGCACCTGAGATACGTCCTTTGCGTTTCACTTAAAGAATCAGGGACATGCATGGGACAGAATTTCAACATAATCCCAACTGAAATAGGGGAATCTCTTAATGATGCATGAAGCAGTTTCCAGCCGTTTCCAAGTGATTTTGAGGGGGTCTTCGTTTTCTACACACCGGGGTTATTGTGTAGAAAACGAAGACCCTGGTCGAAATTTTGTATAATTGAAGATATTGTTGTTTCTTACACATCTAAGGTCGAGATACCCGTTTCTAGATATTTATAAGAGATTTTGAGGGGGGTCTTCGTTTTTGAGGGTCTTAATGGGGTTAACCGATAGGCGTAAAACGGACAAAAATTTAGTCGATAGCCGTAAAAATTAAAAAATTTTAACCGTTAGCCGTAAATGGGGTAAAAAAGAGTTAACCGTAAAAGAAATTGTTTCCTAGATTTGTTAATTTTAAGGAAGGTGCTAAACTCTCTTATGGTTGCATTATTTATTTCCCGGCCACTTTGACTCCGCACGCACGTTAGGCCAAGCGCCTTTAAGTTGTGACCTAGACCTAGACTCCATTTCCGCCGCTCTCTCGGGGAACTAATTTCTTCCATTGCGAAAATCACGCTTCTTGCTGGAGATTAAAATTTGCGATTTTCAGGAGGTCGTAGTGAAACAACACCCAGAGATGTCACTTAACATTTGTTGTTAAATTTCTTGCTTGCCTGCCTCCTCCGATCTCCTAGGATTTTTGAACCCCCCAGAAGTGTATAATTGCCCATTTTTAACGTATTTTTACCCTAAAAAGGTCACCTAGAATTTTCGGGAGCCTTCAGTTTCTGGCTGAAACTTTCGAAAAGGTAAGTTTTGATCCCTATAATTTTCAGTTTCGGATCACTAGACTTTCAGCTAGGAAATCCGAACAGACGAAAAATTTTTAGGGGATAAAAATATGCCTATATCTACCGTTTAAATGCTAAAATACGTTCAACAAAGCTATGTTTAAGTGGTTTTGAACTATATTCTCGTTGGGGGCCCCTGATAAAAACATCATTAAAACACTACAGAACTAGCTTTGAGCCTAATAAAAAATCACTATCTTAGAAGCGCTGGAAGCGTTTCTTACGTATATTTATAAAGACAACAATAGTGGGTCGGAATGATAATGAAAACACTTGGAATAACTATAAATAAAGTTAAGATAAGAGTATAATTGACGTTAGTGTTTCCTGCATTGGTGTTAGACTCATACATCAGCCTACTTTCTTTTATAGCCTCGCTTCCTTATAAAGAATGATGCTCATTAAGCATTCCTATCAACATGATGAGAGTAACAATCAACTTAAAATTGATGCCGGCTTTGCTTGCTTTGTTGGGGTTAAATTCATACAGTTGAATCATTGTTCCATTGACTTGGTTTTCCTGTTGGGTGCAGTTTGCGTTTTCTACGACTGTGACATTATACCGAGCACGAGTCGTAACTGTGAAGTTCTTGTCTTTGACGTCTTCCAGTGAAACTGTGTTATCAAAGCCGTACAGTATGATTACATTCTCTGGGTTTGTCTTGTAGATCACAGTCGTGTTTAGTTCAAATAGATTCTTTTCTATTCCGTCTTTAAGGGTCCGAGGTATTGAGGAGTTTCCCAGACATAAGTGTCCATTCGAATCTAGTAAACTCACTCTTTCAGATGATAATCTCACCGCTCTTTTCTTGGGAATTGACACATATCTTTCACGGAGTGGAAACTCTTCATAGTAGACGGGGCTCTACTAAGTGCATATGTCGTTACAAGATAGCCAGCTGCGGCTTTAGTGAAGAGTTTTGCTTGTGACTTGATTACCGGAGTACGGAACGTGATCGGTTTTATTGGTGTAGTTTTGGTGATTTTAGGTGTTGAAGACGAACGAATCCGGCGAACTGAACTTCTTCTGCGGCTGCTTCGACTGGTTCGACTGGCTCGACTGGCTCGCCTCCCTCGACTACCACCACGACTTCTCCCTCCTCCACTGCGTCTCCGGGCTGCATCAACATCATGTAGCATTAACAGAGCAATAACTAAGACTGTGAGGACAGCCACATTCAGAGGCTTCATACTTTATGTAGGACCTACCGGAGCCGTGATCAACAGGCAACCGTGAAACTCTCTGTATTAGAGGAAGTTAGGTGAAACAAAAGTAAAGCGCGAGACGATTTCCAAGCACCCGCGGAAATGAACTCAGTCAGGATTTCAACTATGCTTTATATCTATATGCTGCTGGTTGGATTACTAGAATAAACACAACATTCCGATCCGGAAGCTCCTTTTACGTCATGACACCAAAACGTCTCTTCCTTTTTCAGTTCAAGTTATTCTCTGTTATTTTGCAATCGATTTCCGGAAAATTACTGCGGTCTCCACTTTATGTGGAGGAAAGTAGGGCCAACCGGCATTTGACTTTCATGTGGAAATAAAAAGCAGGAGGAGGGCGAGCTAGGCAGGGTGCACGTGGTCAAAAACGTTTTTTGTGAAGAGTCTCGGAGGAAAAAAATGCAATTGCAGTTGATAGTCTTATATTTCCAGTAATAACTAACAAAAAATTCAGTCACGTAGGGCTGGAAAAAATTCTAGTCCAGACCTGAATCATCAAACCCCCACCTCCTCAACAACTAAAAAAATTCAATCACGTCAACCTCGTTCCCAGGGTTGCAATCACGTAGGGCTGGAAAAAATTCTTTTCCAGACCCAGGAGCCGATTAATCGGCTCCTGCCAGATCGACCTCATCACCAAACCCCTACCTCCCCAAAAGTGGTTGATCCCATAGCCAGTCACGATATCAGAAAAATGTGTTACTTTGCGGTGATCCTTTAATTGTATCCTTTAGGGACGGACAAGAGCCATTATGGCTCTTCGGACGGACCATTAGAAATAATCGGAGATAAGTCCGCTTGTCTGTAGAATTTTTTTTTTAGGTATCACCACTTGCAGGATTTCTTATTTAGACAAGTATCCCTTGAAGGAATTTTTTTTTGGGAATTATCACCCCAATTTCAATGGTCCGTCCCTTATTGATCATGATCCAGAGGTACAGAATGCTACTCAAGTAGCATATCTCGTCTGGTCTTCGAATTTTCCTTTTTTTCAGTTCGTTTTGAACCCATTGCAGTTTGAATAGCGAGAGGCATGAGATTGTTTGAATCTTGCTAAAAAAATCATCGTCTGCAATATTGATTTGGGGATGGCAGCAGGAAGTTATTCTTACGCCATCACACGTTTTAATGGCAAACCGGCGCGAATTTGCACCACGTGGCCAAGTTTTCCCTTGTCATTTACTGTTCATTGTTTCAACACAAATTAGTTGTTTCACGCAATTTTTTATCCATAAGAATTGTTTTGAGCTGTTTTTATCCGCTCATTTTCTATTTTGAAAAATTCTCAACTTGAATCTGACGTTTTCCGTTTGCCGTATACTGACGTGATGCTCAAACTCTGTGTCGTAGTGATTTGAAAAGACCGTTTGACATCTCTGCCACGTGACGAGTTGACTTCGCCTTTATCACCAGAGAACTGGTTTAACTTGTTTAAACGTTCTCTCAAAAGCGTCTCAGGTTGACGTTTAAGCTCTGACCCTTTGACCGGATTTTTTTTATCCAAAGAAAGAAAAAGATATTCGTCACTTTAATTATCCCAACAACAAAAAAATTATTAGTAGACTTGAAATAGCTAATGCACATTTAAAGGAACATTTAGAGGGTCTGAGTGGGGGGTCCACTTGTCGGTTGTCGGTAAATCTTAGTTAATAAAAATGCATGTTTATTATTATTAATATTTGCTATGTATTTCACTCACTTTCAAGACTTTGATCCCTATAAAACGTGTAAAACTTGTAAAACTTGTAAAACTGCATCATTTGATTGACCTTTTAAAAACTTCATTAACTCTGGTTTGTTTATGTAACATGATACCGTTCATTTCACCTTTGTTTGCCAATATTACGATATATAGTGCCTGGATAGTACCGATAAAATCACCAAAGCTTTTATTGCAACGCTGTGGCTATACCAGGGGCGTAGCCAGGATTTTTTCAGAGGTGCACAATTCTCCAATTCGCTTCACACCCACCCCCCACTCTCCATCTTTTTACGTGGTCATTATGTGGTTTATATTTTCAAGGTCCTGGGAAACAAGATGAAGAGGTTTGCATTTTCTCTTATTGTCTGTCTTGAAAGCTTAAAATAATTCTACCTGAGGTAAATACAGTTGACGTGTAGTGTCTTCAACGAGTATAATAATCCTCGATTATATTTTGCTTTTGCAAAGCCTGAGGATAGACTTGCTACAAGTCGACCTCTTGGCGAGCGGTCTAAGCCTGAGGATTAAATCATCGAATATTAATAAATTCTTCTTGTTCTTGTTAAGGTCTCGAGGGTCGTCTTACCACAACCTGACTTTCCTACGATTACACTCCTTATAGACCTTGGTAGTAATGGGTTGTTACCACGTAAGTTATTACTATCAAGCCATGAAATATCTCTTATTACAAAAACCCCCAAAAAATTATATTGTATCAAATGTAAAACAGAAACCTCTACAAAAGACCTTACAGAAGCAATGACGAAAAAAGATAGGTTAATCAGTGATGAAAAGTCTTTGCGATGCTTGTGGGGTAAAGAAAACCTCATTCGTAAAGCAGTGTGGTGGTGGCCGTAAGTTGCAACCTCGTCCCTAGGGCTTTTCCCTCAAAAAATGTTTTGGAGGGAAAAGCCCTGGGGACGAGGTTGCGTAAGTTAGACATTCACTCCCTCACTGGAAAACTTCCTGAGCATAAAAATGGGTGGACGCCTCCTGTGTATAAGTATATGGGGCCTTACAACCCGTTAGATAAGCAGGTTGAATACAACACAAGAACACAGGAGAAGTATTGAAGTGGCATGTCAAACTAAAGAACAAGGTGATGAAATTAGCGCTCAGCACGATAACTGTTATGACATGGGTACGGCTGACTCGTCCCCAGTCGTCTCACTCTCTGTCTCTCCTTATTTGTGCGGGGGGTGTGATGGGAAGGAGGATAGCTTCCTCCCAGGCATGGTAAATAAATAGTGACAGGCCATTCACAGATCCCGCGAACGTGTCGCATGAATGTGATTGCTTTTCTACATGTAGCGTTAAAGAGATTAACTACCGTTTGGCTTTAACCATTGTATCTCTTAATGAACTGCCTCTTTTATAAGAAATAATCGGAGGTTCTTTTGCACTCTTGTATTTTCTTTGAGAGCTTTTTTCTCTGTGAGAGAATTTGACTTCCGAGAGTGTTTTATCTGTTAGGTTGTTCGGGTAGCCTCTCGCTCGAAAGCGTAAGTTGAATATTCTTATGTTTT